CAGATTACCTCTACACTATGTTCATACATTTAATTCTCAGCTAATGTTCAAAGGGAGAAAGTGATTGGTTCTGTTAAATAAGGTATCATAGTTAAACTTAATCCAGATGCCACCTACCTGACTGCAGTTCTGGTAGTATTTGATATTTGAACCTGCGCGTTTCCATCCAACACCATTCTCTTCAGCATCCCTCTCTGAGTAGAGGAGTGGTTTCATACCCTGTGAATACAGACTGCTCCTCTTCATCAAGTTAACGATAGTGAAGCCGTAGGTGACGCCAGCTTTTGTGTTCCTGACCCTGAAGTAAAACCACTGCGTGTGCTTTGTTGTGTACATGTCTGTGCGCAGGGTCAGCTCATAGTCATAGGCACCCCTGAACAGGCAAGAAAATATGAGCAGAGATCCAAACTGAACCTAACATTACTCCAAAAGTGAAAATATACAACTGAAAAGAACAATAAACCTGCAGACTCACACTTGGACGGCCTTCTGAAGGTTCCCACTCTCAAACCGTGACTCAAACTTGAGAGTCAGCTCTGACTGACCGACATCATAAAAAGCGGCTCGCTTAATGGGTTCTCTGCTTCCTCCAATACGAGAGTAGGTGAAATATGGGTGCTTAGCAGCTTTAAAGGGTCAGAAGAACAACAACAAAAAAAAGAAGAAACACTAAATTTACTTAAAGCTTTAAGATTCACTGAATTTACATTGTTATTTCAGAGAATAGTGACAGTATACAGTATATAACTTAAAGTACATATGAAATAACCTGGAAGTGCAAACATAAATCCCAATGATGACAGTTAAGAGTTACCATGGTCAATGCAGAATACCACCTTCCCCCTCTCCTCTCCGACTGGCATGGGTGTCCTCTCATATCCTGTGCACTGATAGAAGGGCTCTGGCTCTGGTGGGTCCCACTCTAGAAAATACACTCATTTTAAACAAGGGAATGCCAAATTTCTGTTCAACGTATTGTTGGTATGGTTTTTATTCTTACCACTAAAAAAACCCAGTGACATCAAAGTTTTATTGAAATGAAGCATTACCAATGTGATGGATAATGTCGCTGATGACCTCACACTCTATTGGCCAGCGGATGCCGCATGAGAAGTTGACCAGTTCTGGTGGTGGCCTGAGACTTATAACAGGTCGTCCACCGCTGATGGTAACGAGTAGCTGTGTGGTCCTCAGCTTCTGACTTAGGTCTCTACATACTGAGTGGGAACATGAAACACACCTTTAATGCTATTTTAGCAATCATGCTGTTTGCTACAATCTTCATCATGTATGCCCACTTGCCTCATGGGGTTTACGCTGACAGATGCAGTTATCTCATTTATAAAACAGCGCTTTTTAAAATATATAAAGATGTAAAACTGAAATGAGATGACCATGCTTGCTTTTCAAAAGTCCATTACATTGACACTCGTGTATCAGCAACATTTAGGCTACATACAATAACGTGTTAAACAATAACACCCTTTATGAAAACAGCTTACACTGCTTCATCTTTGTCAGTTCCTCATCATCTTCATCTGTGCGGGAGTAACTGGTGTCTGCTGTGTCCAGCTGGTGGGCAGTTCCACAATTCCTAACAGCAGAGCTGACCA